CAAAGCGTTGGACAAAGTGTGGCACAGGGCCCTCATCATCAAAATGATAAGGCTTGCCTTCCCCAGGTACCTCACTAGAACGATCAATAGCTACCTCCAAAATAGGTTTTTGGTACAGGCCGACCGGCATCGCTCAGCTTTTCATGTCATAAGGGCTTCCCAATTTCTCCCATACTGTTTAACATTTTCACCAGCGACATCCCGAGGAGTAGACATACTCAACTTTACCTCTTCGCGGACGATACCGCCATCCTCTCCACGCGCAAATGCGAGCGCATCATTCTCATTAGACTAAACAGACATATGTCTGAAATAGAGAGATGGAGGGCGGATTGGAAAATTAAGCTTAATCCCGCGAAGATTAATGCTATTATGTTTACTCGTCGGACCAATACCCAGAATCAAAGGCTGAGAGTTGCCGGAACGCCAATAGATTGGTCCAGTAAAGTGAGGTACCTGGGTCTTATCTTTGACAGGGGTCTGCGCTGGGCAGACAACACTGTGGCAATTGTGGCATGGGCGAAGGCTCAAATTGCTTGCTTGTATCCTGTTCTGAACAAAAACAGCCTTCTCAATGTACATAATAAAATAACCCTCTATAAATCTATGATCAGATCTATCATTACCTATGGGGCGGCGACCTGGGTCACCAGCGCGGCGTCTCATAGGTACAAAATCCAAAGAATTCAGAACAGGGTACTGAAGATCATCACGGGTGGACGCACCAATGTACACCCGTACCTAAGTGCTCCACGATGATCTTCAGATCGACACAATCGAGCAGTTTGTTGCCAACCTCTTGACCAATTACTACCAAAAGGTGGACGTCAGTCAAAACCCTCTTGTCCGTGAGTCTCACATTCGTTCTAACCCCCAAGATACATACCGTCTCCCCAGAGACTTCTTACCCCCACATTAGAACCCACCCTAGTCCCTAAAATGTCAGCAGCATTGTTTCACTAATCTAGGGGCCCTCAGCCCAACTTTCATTTTTCCTAGTTAATAAATTCTATCATTCAGCTCCATTTAATTGAAAAGGTTAAAAGTTCGCCCTTGAACTGAACCAGCCACTCGAAGAGATCCAATAAGAGTTGGCGCCTTGTCTGACTTGAGATATCAAGTGTTAACCGATAAAAGTCGTGTTTTCGCCAAATTTTTAATTTTGGTGTTCGTCGTGCAATTCGTAAAGTAGTCGGGAGTGTCCGGTTCGGTCGTACATTCTGGATACAGTGAATTGTTTTTGCATTGCAGTGGAGTTTACAGGGTGAGTGATTTTTGATTTATTGCTTAAATTGTTTTCGTATAATTTGCTTGCTTGACCAGTTTTTGTAAAATCAGTTTCATTTACTGGTGATTTGGTTTTTGCCTGAATTTTCATAAAATTGGGGCAAATTGATAGTTATTTGTGTATTAATAGCGCAAAATAAGCCATTGTCGATTGAGGACAGTTGCCGTGTGACGCGCCAAAACAAATTGGTTATTTTCCCGCCATTTCAGATGCTTCTAATGTACAAACAATCGGCAAGATTTATTTCGTCGCTTGTCTTTCATGGCAATAAGTGTTGAAGTTTTTTTTGATTGGTAATCAATAAAGGTTAATTGTATTGATTTTTTTTTTCGATTTTTTTTCCCAATTTTTTTTTTTTTAATTTTTTTCCAAATTTTTTTTTTTTTCGCTTTTTTTTTTACAAATTGCTTATTTTCCCGCCATTTCTGGTGTTTTTAATTTGCAATCAATTGGCAAGGTTTATTTCGTCGCTTGTCTTCCATGGCAATAAGTGCTTAAGTTTTTGTTGATTGGTACCTAATCAATAAAGGTTGATTGTATTGTTTTTTTTTTTTTTTTTCGATTTTTTTTTTTCAATTTTTTTTTCCATTTTCTTTCCAAATTTTTTTTCCGCTTTTTTTTTTAACAAATTGCTTATTTTCTCGCCCTTTCTGGTGTTTTTAATTTGCAATCAATTGGCAAAGTTTATTTCGTTGCTAATAAGTGCTAAAATTTTTGTTGATTAGTAATCACTAAAGGTTAATTGTATTGATTTTTATTTTTATTTTTTTTTATCCATTTTTTTTCTAGATTTTTTTTTTGGCCTTTTTCTAAGTTTTTTTTTCTAGATATTTTCGACTTTTTTTTTAACTATTTTTTTTCTGACTTATATTTTTTCTACTGTTTTCCTAGATTTTCTTCTGCTTTTTTTTGTGCTAATGTTTTTGTTGATTAGAAATCAAAAAAACTCAACTACTTATATCAGTTTTTTTTATTTTATTTTTTTTCTCAATTTTTTTCTGGATATTTTTAACTTTTTTTTGACTTTTTTTTCTGACTTATTTTATTTGATTTTTTTCCTAAATTTTTTTTTGCTTTTTTTTGTGTTAATGTTTTTGTTGATTGGCAATCAAAAAAGGTCAATTGTATTGACTTTTTTTTTTCGATTTTTTTTTCTCAATTTTTTTTTTCGTTTTTTTTTTCAAAGTCTTTTTTTCTGGATATTTTCGACTTTTCCTTTGACTATTTTTGTCGGACTTGTATTTTTTGACTTTTTTTTTTTTGTGCCAATGTTTTTCTTGATTGGTAATTAAAAAAGGTCAATTGTATTGACTTTTTTTTTCCTTTTTTTTATAGATTTTTTTTTTGTTTTTTTTAAAGTGTTCTTTTTTCTTTTTTATTTTCGACTTTCTTTTTCCCGTAAATTCAAATTGAATTCCATTTTATTGATTTATTTTTTTTCCAATTTTTTTTTTTAGATTTTTTTGTTTTTTTCTTCGACTTTTTTTTTACTTCTATTTTGTCGACTTTTTTTCTGACTTCTATTTTCTCGACTTTTTTCCGGATTTTTTTTTTTTTTTTTTGTCTTTTTCTTTGTTTTTTTTTCCAATTTCTACTTCTTAGATTTTTTTTTCGGATTTTTTTATTTTTTTTTTCCGAATTTTTTTTTTCCGAATTTTTTTTGTCGACTTTCTTTTTTCCGAAAATTCAAATTGAATTCCATTCTATCGATTTATTTATTTTTTTATTTAGGTTTGGTCGTGCTATTGAATGGTGTGGAGTTTAAAGGGTAAGTGATTTTTAATTTTTTGTATATTTTTTTATATATTTTTTTATTTTCATTATTTACAATTTTATTTATTGTTTAAATCGTTTTCGTGTTGTTTGCTAAATTTGACCAGCTTTTGTAAAATCAGTTTCTATTAAATTTTCATAAAATTTGGGGAAATTAATAATTTTTTAAATTTAATTTTCACTTAAGGGTTAATTATTTGCGTTTTTTTTTTAGTAAATTTTGATTTAATTAAATTTTCACTTTTTTTCAAATTCGTTTACTTTTCTGTTTTCGACTTTTAAACTAAATTTTCAAAGTGTGTTTTCCTAGATGAGATACCTCATTTTATATTCAGTTTCCATTCTATGGATTTATTTATTTTTCATATAGGTTTATTTTCCATCATAATATTTTGATTTCTGTTTAAGTTTCTGTTTTGAATTCCAATTCTATTCTTTCGATTTATTTGTTTTTCTATAGGTTTATTTTTCATCGTAATATTTTGATTTCTGTTTAAGTTTCTGTTTTGAATTTCGATTCCATTCTTTCGATTTATTTGTTTTTTGTATAGGTTTATTTTCCATCGTAATATTTTGATTTCTGTTTAAGTTTCTGTTTTGAATTTCGATTCCATTCTTTCGATTTATTTGTTTTTCTATAGGCTTATTTTTCATTGTAATATTTTGATTTTTGTTCAAGTGTCTGTGTTGAACTTCAATACTTTTCTATAGATTTATTTGTTTTTCGTATAGGTTTATTTTTCATCGTAATATTGTCTAGTTTTCTGTTTTAAATTTTAATTCCATTTTATCGGTTTGTTTATTCTTCATATAGGTTTATTTTTCATTGCAATATTTTTATTTCTGTTGAATTTTCTATATTGAAATTTAGTGTTTTTCTATTCAATTTTTTGATTTTGCCTTTTTGAATTTTCTATTAGAGCTTTTGGTTGTTTTTTTTTTTCACATTTGTCCATACTCTTGACTCTTTCAAGTTTTTGATTTAACTTTCGAATTTCTGTTTTTTTTTTTCTAAATTTAATAATTTTTTGAATAGATTTTTTTTTAAATTTAATAGTTTTTTTCTACTGACGTTTCATAATAGCAACTTTTCGATTGTCATTTCAGTTTTGAAATGACATTCTTTTAGGCACTGAGTGCGTGAAAGTTACTTTTAAGCACTCAGTGCGTAAAAGTGACTTTTGAATGCGTAAAAGTGACTTATGAGTGCGTAAAAGTAATTTTTAAGCACTAGTGCCTAAAAGTGTCATTCATTATTCAGAAATAAAAAACACACTAAACACATATTTGAATTTTGTTTTGTATTTATTATGAATATTGAAAATGGAATTACTGAATTGAACGTTTGGGTTACTCAAAACAGAACTTTGTGTTATTACCTACTTTATAGGATTTTAATTATTGATGTCAAATTTTGAAAAGAAAATCGCATGAAAAGTGTCAGGTGTCAAATAAAAACAGGTAACAAAGATTTTGGGTGTAATCGACTTATTCACATGAAATAAAATTGTGTTTTTTTATTATAAATTGCCAGTAGAAAAAATCTTGTATACAATACGTTACGAAACGATGTCTTTTAGTCATTCGACGTGTTGTCCAACTCGGCTTTGCCTCGTTGGACAATTTTCACGTCGCGAGCCAAAAAGGCGCTCATTTCGTAACTTATTGTATAAATAGCTATTTTAATAGTGCTTTTTTTCTAAATTTAACACGTTAAATACTTATTTTGTTTTTCTAAATTTATTTAGTAGTTCATTCAATAGTTAATTTTTTTTTAAATCCTTATTTATCTTAGTGATTGTTAGTGATTTCGTGGAGGCCAAGTTTTATTAATATATATATTTCATTTAATCGGGGACTTTTGAATTTATTATAATTTTCTTTTAATTGGGAAAGTTCACTTGGGGTTCAGTTTATATTTTTTCAAATATTTGCCAACATGTCGATCTGGAAGAAAGATACAGTTGGTAAATACCTTGGAATTCAAGGGGATGGCAACTGCCTCTTTAGGGCACTTTCTGTGGGAATGGGGGGGAATTTTTCACATGAGAAGTTGCGTGAAATTTTAGTTAACGAGGTGAGGGATAAGTGGGATGAATATGCTAATAATGTTTTTGATTATGATAATGTAGACCATTATTATAGGGAAATGATGAAAGTCTCTGTATGGGGTTCCTATGCCGAAATTTTTGCCTTTTCTAATGTTTTACAAAGGAGAGTTGTCGTTATAAGTGACGGTCGCGAAGCGGTTGATGTGGGTCCCCAAGATAACACTCCAATTGTATTACGTTTCGTCGGTAACAATCACTACGATTTATACGAGGATACTGTCATTCCTCTACCCGTTACTGTTGTTGGTGCTGCTGCTGCACGAACTCCTGTGGTAGTAGCTCCTGCTGTAGCAGTTTCTACTGTAGCAACTCCTGCTATAGTAGCTCCTGCTGTGGCAGTAGCTCCTGCTGCAGTAGCTCCTGTCGCTGTTCGAAAAAATAATCAAAAAGTGGAAGCCACTTCCTGCTACGGATTCGGTAAAGCCAGAGTGGAATATGAGGAATGATAGAGTTACAGAGTTTTATCAAAACGCGTGGGAATTCGGTGACCGCGATTTTCAAGATATTCCGGTACATCAGCTTCCGAATTCGAACAAAGACGATTGGTTTTGTAAGCATTGCGGTGCTAAATTTTGGGCCACCGAATTGTCCGGAAAGACCAAGAGCACGGAACAATGCTGTGGGTTAGGGAAACGGGTTTTGGCAGAAACCAGTTTGTTCAGGAAACCTCGTGATCCTCGAATACTTTCCCTATATCATTGGAAGGATAGGGCTGCGATGAGGAAAAGTCATTTCCACAAATTTATCATGGCGTATAATAGCATCTTTGCAACTGTTCATCGGCGCGGGTCGTTCGCTGGTCTGGGTCTTTCAGACAGCCGTCCTGCCGACGAAGCAGCGGTCGTCGATAGGCAAGTTCGGTTTATGGCGTCAACGCATGTAGCTGGTCTACATAATTTGAATAAGGCTTATCTCTATTTCATGGATGTGAGCGAGGAGGTTGTTAAGGCTAGAATTAATTTGTCGACTGTTTCGACTAAGTTAGAGATTCCAATTGTTAGGACACTGGAAAATTATCTGCGAGTCGAAAATGTTCTCATGCGTATTTTTAAATGCGCTGGAGACATTTACGAGGAGGAGAAATTGAAGGCTGCGGCGGAAAATAGGGAGGTTCGTGAGGTTATTTTATGTGTTAACCCTCGTGACAAAGAGGATCAGGACGCTAGTCGTTTTAAATTTCAAAGACGTAAGGGTGCGGCGGCCAAGTCTGGAATGCAATATCCTCACAACGAAACCGTTGCCGGAATATATCTAGGCGATAGACCGCCATGTTATTACGACGTCGAGTTCGCTGTGAAGCCATTGCAGGAAGGTGCGGCTCTTCCGTATAGGGAGGTCAACGTCTTGAGGTGCACTTTAGACCTCATGCTTTATCCACTTATCCATCTTCATGGAGAGTCTTCATTTCAACAAAATGACCGAGATCAAGTTAATTCCTTACGCGAGTATTATTGTGTGAGACTTTTTTCAAATTCGGTGAGATTGGATAGTGTACGTTATTGAAACGTACTTGAGCACGTAGGGAAGTTACGTCTGCAGTATCTTGTGGATGCGGGCGTAAAAATCGAGTACAATAATGTAAATTGGGCAATAGGGAATCAGAGGTATATGCGCGCAGAAACCTATGCCAATCTGAGAGACTTTTTGTTAAAAGAAGCCGCAAGGAGAGGCTTTGGAGATTCGGCGCAGCCTCTACCGGTCGGTAAAGTCATTGTATTACCGCCTACCATTTCGAGTTCTCGTAGGTACTATTTCAACGGGTACATGGATTGCATGGCCCTTTGTAGGAAATTGGGTAGGCCTTCAACCTATTTTCTTACATTCACTGCGAATCGGCAATGGTCGGAAGTTACCGAGGAACTCCATCGGCTCGGTAAAGGAACGGATGACATTGCCAATTTTCCCGACATTTTGTGTCGAGTTTTCGAACAAAAGTTGGACAGTCTCATGCGAGACTTGCTCCAACGACAAATTCTTGGGAAGATTGAGGCATATGTGGTTAGGATTGAATTTCAGAAGCGCGGTGCCCCTCACGCACACATTCTTTTGTTCTTAATGGAACAGGATGTTCCCGATTCTGCTGAGGATTTGGATAGGGTGATTTGGGCCCGTTGGCCCGTACAATCTGATGGCGCCGGATACGAACGGTGCGGGAATTGGTCGCCAAATTCATGATACACAATAAGTGTAATGTATTGGAGACCGAAGCTGATCGTGTTCGGGACGATCCGGACGATATTGACATTCTTAAGCAGCCCGTTGAGGAGGAAAATCCAGGCCAGCTAAAAGACGACGTCGATGACGTTCCTCAAAACGACCATGTTGTTGGACTTCTAAAAATGAGTGTAGGTGGAAATTTCCAAAAAAACTGGGTGACGAGTCTCGAGTTAATAAACAAAGATCCGTCTTCTTCAAGCGACCGCACGGCACCGAGCTGTATCATCGCGGTCAGGATCGTGTGGTGGACAACACTTGGATTATTCCGTATAATCCGACTTTGTTGGTCCGCTACAATTGTCCCATTAATCTTGAACTTTGTGTAGGGAATCCTATTCAGATTTGTCGGTATATCAATGCGTATATCAACAAGGGTCTGGATTCGATCAATTTGAGGTGTGTGGAATTCGGTTTTGATGAGACCACAAACACGATCACTTGGGACGAGGCAGCGGCCTACGTGAAAATGAGGTATAACGGCCCTCACGAGGCCATCTACAGAATTCTGGGCTTGGCATGTTTTCACATTAGTCATTCTGTCATCACTCTCCCAGTTCATTTGGAAAATGAGCAGTTCGAGATTTTTTATGAGGGGCAGGAGGAAGAGATCGTCAATCGGACAGGCAATTCCAGGTTAATCGGTTGGTTTCTTTTGAATAAATCTTCTAAAGGGTCGAAAAAGAATTTCTATGTTGACGTAGTGGGAACTCACACGTGGCTTAAGGGGAAATGGGTAGCGAAATCGCGAAAAACCAATGCCATAGGTAGACTTGCTGTAGTCTATCCGTCACGTGGGAATGCCGAGAGATCCCATCTGAGAATGATTTTGTGCAACGTTCCGGGGCTAATCTCCTTCAGAGACGCCCGAACCGTAGAAAATATCGAATACCCTACCTTCCAAGCGGCATGCATTAAAGCTGGTGGACGATGACGAGAACGAAGTCGAAAAAGTCATGCAGTCCGTATGGACTCGCATGGGCTCCCAACATTTAAGGGACGTCTTCTCTTTAATGCTGGTGCATTTATCTTTGAAGGATCCACAAAAAACTTTCCGTCGGTGGGCGGGTAAGATGGCTCGTCACATCAAAAAGATTCCGGATGTTGTCGTCGAGGTCGCCAAAACGATCCTCAACATGAAAGAACGCGCCCGGGTTTTGCGTTGCGCTAAGTTTTGCGTTCTTTTCGAAGAACTCGAAACGTTCATGAGAGAGTGTTCGTCGAAAATGTCAAATTATTTGATCAGTAAACAATGGATCCGAGATTTGACCTTCTCGGATGACGAATACTCCGGGGACGAAGATGACGCCGTGGACAATAGTGACGGCACTATTGAAAGCGACGCGTCCAAAACCGGCCTCGGCGACAAAATCCGGATTCAGCATTTGAACGACGAGCAAATGTTATTTGCCGCCGACGTAATGGATTCTGTGAATCGGAACCAGAATAGGGCCTTTGTTTTAATGGGGTCGGAGGGCACAGGTAACACTGTACTCCTCAACGCCATCTTGGAAGAGATGGACGTTATGGAGTATGGTTACCTGGCGTCAGCTTTCACGGGGATTGCGGCCACATTGTTGAAAAACGGGGCAACTGCACACACCACGTTTGGGTTGCCGTTGCGGAAAAAGCAAGATCCAGAGTCTTCTGTGCTAACTTCTAATTTATCTTTTCAATCTGAGGAGGCGGCGAAAATCGGGGCTGCCAAGCTCATTGTTATCGATGAGGTTTTCATGCTTTCTATGTGGATGTTGGATTTGATTGAGAATTCTTGTAGGTTGTTTAGTCGGGGTCCCAACTCCACTCGTCGTTTCGGGGGCAAAACTGTAATCCTTAGTGGAGATCCTAAGCAGTTGTTGCCCGTCGTTAGGGGGTCGTCTGGTCGGATGGCTGCCATCATGGAGTCGATCGTTGCTTCTATTTTGTGGGCGAATTTGGAGAAAGGTGACGTTGCACCGAAATATGCGCTTGAGTGACGCAGAAGTAGCTTGGACTGAGTGGGTTGGACAATTGGGGGTGGGTAAAATTCAGGGGCAAGCCAACCATCAAGCTACAATCGCGATTCTACATAAAGACATATTGGTCGACTCACCTGAGGAACTGGTTGATTTTGTTTTCGGGGATATCTTCAAGGCCATCGAAGCAGCCTTGCCAATCGGGCGATCTTGTGTCCTATAAATGTCACAGTTAAAGAAATGAACGCGAAAATTTTCCAGAAGTTCCCTGATCTTCGCCAAACCGAGCGAACTTATCTCGCTACCAATTGGTTCGAAGAAGATATTGAAATCAGGACTTCTAATCCCCATCCTCTCCGACAAGAGATCACTCCTGACATTTTAGAGGCTTTGGATATTGCGTCGTTGCCACCTCACGTTTTGACATTAAAAATAGGGTCCGTTGTAATGCTGATGGTCAACTTAAATGTCAGAAGGGGTCTTTGTAATGGACAACGGATGGTGCTCAGAGAACTTTTGGAAAACGTCGTAATTTGTAGCATGGCCACTGGTCAATTATCAAGGACGAAGGTAGCTATTCCTCGCAAACTTTTTGTCGAAGGAGAAAGTAACACCGAGCTAATGGGATTGTTTTACAGGAAACAATTCCCCCTTCGTCTGGCACACGCCATCACTATCAATAAGGCTCAGGGTCAAACGCTTGACAAGGTCGGATTGTATTTGCCGGTCCCGTGTTTTTCACACGGACAGTTGTTCGTTGCGTTTTCTAGAGCTAGAAAACGTGACGATGTCAAAGTGCTCGTCATAGACGGGCCAAAGCAGGGAAGACTGTTTAAAGATGGCCGTAAAAACAATCCCGTTCACACACGTAACATCGTGTATACAGAGTTCGTCAACGACTTAGCAAATGACATCGACGATGATGGTGTAAATTAGTAGAATTTGATACTGCTGTTAGTTTTGTGTTTCAGGTCTTTTGGTTTCAGTGTCCATGTCCAGTATATAAGGTATTTTTATAAAAAAGGGTATCGAAATAAGGCAATTTATCGAATTTGACCAATAACTTTTTTTGATATATTCATGATTTTGACTTTTACCCGAATGTGACAATTACTTGATTATGACAATTTCTGATAATATGACAATATGGCAAATACCCTATATTGATATATTTATATATATATATATATATATATATATATATTAAAATGAAAATCAGTTATCGACCGTACTAATTAAATAATTTGGAGAGGATATCGGGTAGCGGTCTGGACTAGTGAAACTCATTTGTTTTTATACTCAATATTTCGTCTTATATTTTAGACTTCATCAGGAGAAACTACAAGAAAAATAATGAATAAAAATATTTTGGTATAAATAACAGAAATGGCAGTTTAAAATGAATTGTACAATAATAAAATAAGGAACAAAAATAATAAATAAATTAAATATTACTTACAACACAGAGCTAGTCGAGATTTTTGTATTTTCCTATTTTTAATAGATTTTGATGTCTTTTTTTAGAGAAATTTTTTTTTTTTTTTTTTTTTTTTTTTTTTTTGCAACGAAATTGTCAGTCAAAGTCTACCGAAAAATTAAAATTTCAACTGGTTATTGTGGTATGATCTAAGAATATGAACGTTCCATATAATTTTTACAATAGTAAATTATTGAGTTAGGTTTAAAATATTACAATAGATGTTACTTAATTGGTTAGTATCAGATTTATTATTTAATGAATGTTCTGTTTTTTGAATATAACACATTTCCAAAAAAAGGCGACTTTTATAGTTATTTTCTTTTCTCAAAATTTTTACCTCGTTGAAATTAAACTGATGTCCTGTTTTTTGGAAATGCTCAACAACAGCACAAGAGTTCTTTCCCACTCTACAATCGCTCCGGTGTTGTGTTAAACGTTGTTTGAGCCATTGTGCTGTTTGGCCAACGTAACAACCTTGACATTCCATGCATGGAATTTTGTAAATTACATTATTGTTGTAAAGTAAAGGAGTTTTATCTTTTATTTTAGAGTATAAGTTTCTGATTGTCAAGTCATTGTATTTTGCAATTTTTATGTTAGGAAAGTCTTTAAAGAGTGTTATAATTTGGTGTGAGAAATCCTTAATGTAAGGTAGTTTTTTGTATGTTATCTGTATATTTTCAGGTTCCGTTGGGCCGTCAAAAATGTTGGAATTGTAAATTAATTTTGTCAAGATATGTTTTGGATAACCATTGTTGATAAAAATTTTGAAAAGAGTTTTTAAATTGTCTTGTAAAAATCTCTCATCACTGATATGTGTTAACCTATTTTTCATTGCGATAACAGTATTATAC